GTTTATCCCAGACCCTGATCCTTGCAATGGTGATAAAGTAGATGTGATACAGTGGCAGAATCGACTGTTTAATACTGGTTTGCGTTTTGCGTTTTTTATTCGCAAAATGTCGCGGTAAGCATGAGTTACCACCAACTTTTATTTCATCCAATCGGAAAGGAAAAAAGTACAAAAAAAATCCTTTTTCGAGATTTTGAGTACGGGGGTAGATTATAGAAAGGGAAGGTGTTAGCACCCTTTCTATCCGTAGTTATCTACGGGCTCTTAGGTACTTGCTCATTTTTAAATTGCTTGTGTTTGTGTGCTTGTTTTGAAAAATGTTTTACTTCGTGATAACCCTTATATCATTCCTCAAGGGTGTGACGAAGTTGTTTTGAAAATTTGTTTAAAAAGTGTAAGTGTGAAATTTTTTGATTTGAGCAAGTACCTACTAGCATCTACCTACTCAAAAAAAGATTGTTTCTATTCTTGTTTCCTTTAGACAGTGCTATCCTACTATGAGAAATAGGTAGCACCGTCGTTGGAGTTGTAAGGGTCAATTTGAAAGGGACGTACGATCACTAAAGCAATATTAGGACACCTTAGTAGTAACCCTAGAGTCTTAAGATCTTTTTCGAGGCAATATTTTCGAGGCAACATTTCCGAAGCAACATTTCTGAGGCAACATTCGAATGGGACATTTGATCTTTTTTGACGGGAGGGCAACCACTAAGACACTCTATGCTTAATGATCGTTTACCAAAGGCAACCAAAGTGAGAGTATACCCTAAGAGTGAATATGTTCGAGTGATCCATTTTCAGTTTATTATCTTTGCACATTAGGGTTTTCTAACCATTTTAATTTTGTCATGCATTCTTGCCATACAATCCTATTAGCATTCATCTAACAGTTAATAATTGCGGAAATTTAAAAGTGCGAAAATATAAAACCTAACTATTACAAGGCTTCAGGGAGGGGGATTAATTACATAACCAAAAAATCGGGGAAAAGCGATAAGTAAAAAACCTAGTTAAAACTATTACATCCTCAAAACAGTTACAAAAATAATAAAAGAATTAAATGCATGCAGTAAGTTAAATGCGAGGCGATTGGGGTTTTAACCCTTTGACTAATCCTACTTGTGATTGATTAAAGAAAAAAAATGCTTTTTGTCAAGTTTTGTTATTTGAGAAAATAATGAATAATTAAATTGCAAAGAAAATCCTAAGTTCTAATTAATATTAATTTTTGAAAATAAATAAATCAATGAAAAGAAATTAACTATAAATAACCTATTTTTGTATTCCGACAATTTCCCATGTATGTATCCCGTTTCGAGAGATAGGCTTTTGACTTCCTTTTGCTTATCTCCAGGTGGTCGTTTTCCGACATCTCTGCCTGGCCCCTTCGCAGATGCACCCTAACTCGATCGCCTTCATACATGATTTCGAGATCATGTGCGATTATTTGAAGATAGGGGAGACAATTTCCTTGTTATTCTACTGCTTCCATTTTCAGAGGATCATGTTTGATACTTAGTTTGGATGGGTTTCTTTAAAGTAGGCGAATGAGAAACTGTTCAAGGCCTACTTGGAGTTTGTCCGACTCTTCAAAGATAAGTATATTTTGATCCAGCCCGTGTCAAAGAGGGCGTTGCTGAATGTTTTCAGGAGTGCCCCGTTGTTTGATGAGGATGGGGGTCATGTCCTGAATGCAGATGGGGAGAAGATGATGAATATGGTGCCCAAGTTCCCTTTCACTAAATGAGGAAGCACTATGATAAGGGGACCAACCTCTATGTCTGGAAGAAAGTTCAGCTTGGTTCCAAGGATCAGGCTAGTCATGACCGTTTATCTGCCGTTATTGCGGGAATCTCCCTAGTCCAGCGTGTGGGCAGAGGGGGAAGGTCGATTGTCGACGGGGACACGAAATTGGTCTATGAGCCTGGCATGATATGCGTTAAGGAGCTACTCAAGAGTGAGGGTCCCGTTGTGTACTTGGTTAATTATCTTGTATTTCGATTAAATTTGTGTGTATGGCTTATCATTCCTGTATGTTGAACTCAAGTTATTGTTTCTTGCAGAAAAAATGAATCATGCTATCGAGCACATGGCTAAAGAAGCTATCATGAAGGTGAAGAAGGTGCAAAAGTCTGTCAGACCCTCGCCAGGTGGTACAGGGACAACTCCACAATCGGGTTCAGGCACATATGGATTGGTCCAGCAGTCAGGGCTCTCTCTCCATAGCAGGTGCCTTCGAGGTTCAAAAGACAACGCCTCGAGGGCATGGTTGATCAGACGAGTGAAAAGGAAAAAGGGTGGTTCGATATGCGTCCTTGTTGGCATAAAAATACCTTCTTCGAGGGAGCCACTCTGCAACTTCTCTAAGCTTAGTCACTTTTGCTTGAGGATCTGGATCGTTCGAGCAAGAGGGCGACGTTGGCTTGAGATGATGGTGCCATCACGAGGGTCTTGGAGATGGCCATTGCATATACCGAGGGAGGTACTTCTCAGTAGGTCGAGATGAGGAAATTAAAGTCCAAGTTGGCAACTTCTGAGAAGGAACACACCAGTGGGGAGGCTACCCGAAAGGAGGCAGTTGAGAGCTTGGCGAAGGTGACCGAGGAGCGTGATACCCTTCTGCTCGAGAAGAGAGCTTCTAAGGAGTTGGTCGCGTCCCTGAGGGCCGAATTGAGTCCTGCCAAGGATGAGCCGAAATAGGTCAGAGGTCTGAAGACCCGTGCCGACTTGGTTTCCCATCTCCAACTGCCGTGGATGGCAGTTTGGTAAACGTTGAGGGGAGTCTTGATAATACAGTGGTGCAACTCCGGGTTCTGAATCCTGATGTCGACTTCAACACGGTTGGAATGAGGCTCCATTACTATGTGTCAGATGGTAAGATAGTCATTCCTGAGTTCCTTCGGATCAATAAGGATGTTCTGATCAGGGAGCCTTCTCACGTGGAGCTGGCTCCCGAGGTCGATGTAAATGAGGAAGAACTTCAACCCGGTGTTTGACCAGTTTATTGTTGCTCTTTTTGTTTCGGCCTATGTGTCGTATTGTAGTAATTTGTTTTCCTGGGGCTTTTCCCATTTTGATGTAAGTTCCATACAATCGTGGTCCTCGTGGCCACAAGTTCGTTTACTTGAATGGGGGCCTTGAGCCTCTCTTGTGTAATGTTTTGTACAATTGTAGCCTTTATGGTCGTATTTTAATTTTTTTTACTTTGGTGGTAGTTCTGCTTTAATATGCATTATTTAAGTGTTTTTGACTTTGCTTGTGCATGATTTACTGTCTATTATGATAACATGTTTGTATGCGCATCTGCTTGAGATCGTTTTGCTTAAGATTTTTTTAGGGGGTTTTGCTCATTAACCATTGTGGCTCGCCAATGAGGGGAACTGGTCGAACGAACATGGTTAATACCGGGCAAGGGCTGGAACCCGGGTCTCGTTTGAGGCCTAAACTCGGCGACATGAACTTCTCATTGCAAGCTGGGTGTTCTACCATCGTAGCATGGCAACAATGAAGCTCATTTGAGTTTTTCATGTCGGACTAAGAATCTACTCGTAAAAAAGAATAGAGACTTACTTTTTCATTTAGTATGAATAATTATATAAGATTCCTAATTTATGCAATATAATTAATGTCAAAATTAAACGTGGTCTTACAAATTATTACTTAATATTATGCAAGTATTTTTCCTTACCTTTGTAATTTAGACATGAAAGTGATAAAAAAAATTACATAGTAACTAAGTTTATGTATTTATGAGAATACAGATGCACATTAAAAGGATCGCTTTTTCATATATGATGTCCCAACTAATATGAATGTCTAACAATATAAGCAAGCAAAGAACTCTTGTCTAAACAATCATAAACAAGAAAAATGAGCATAACAAACAATACATAGATCCATGCTAATAATATCACACAATTATATGTTGATAGTCCAATCTGAATAAATTAGCAAGTCACTTGTTGCTCTCTTAACACACAAAGTTGTGTTATTAGCCATGTCTCTAAGCCTCCAATGAGGAAAATCCTTTACTATCAAAACCTTCTACAAATCCACTTATAACAAATCATCAATATTAGTCACAAATTTCACTTATAACATTATAAAACATTGATTTCATTGACAGAGAAAACATTTAAAGAGATCACAAAATGGATCAAAATATAACATATCTCAAACTGCAGAGAAATCAGAGAAATCCTCACTGAACTAAAGACAACATTCGTCAATTAACTTGTTTCTACTTCATTAGCAATATCAATATCATTGAAATGATGGATCAATCATAAAATATCGTTTTGAATATACACTACTAAACTGTATATTCTTCTAATGTCTTGATGCCAACAAAGTCTCCTCTCAAGTCATTATCATTTTAAACAACCTCTATCTTCCTTACTGTTATTATGAAAATCATTCAGATTAATTACAAAATAAAATCAAATTGAAATCAAAATAAACAAAAACACATTATGAACCACAATTTAGAAACAAACCTAATTTGGTGAAATCGGCGGAAGCAAGTCTCTTGTTTATATAATTTATGAACCAAATTGAAGAGATAGTGATGAACACAAAATTTAGGGTTTATTCCTAATATATAGTATAATATATAGTATGTATTAGATATGAAAGTTGATTTAATAAAAACACCAAGAACATGGACACTCTCACTTCAAACACAAATAAACACAACTGTAGATTTAAAAAACATTCTCTAAACTGATTAAATTTAGCTAATGAGATAATTTTGGTGGTTGTATATAAAGTAGATTTAAGATAAAATTATGGTCCTTTAACTACTAAAAAAATATAAAATTTTGAAGTAGAGTTTTAAAAGTTTTTTTTCTTAGCCCAGCCCATTCATAACGAAAACCCTAGTTTTATAAAACAGTTAAAAAACAGAAATGAACATTTCTTGACGCGTTAGTCGATTTGGAACCTCTCTCTGATCACTTGTTCACTACCATTCCTCGCATCATTCATTCATCTGCAAAATCATGGCCGAGAAAGCTATCACTATCAGAACCAGAAAATTCCTCACCAATCGTCTCCTTTCCCGAAAGCAATTCGTCAGTTTCTCATTTTTCAAAATCCCCTGTTCATTGATTCATCGTTCTGCATTTCATGAAAACCTAATTGTTGTTATATGATTCAGTAGTTTTATTTAGTTTCAAACTATTAAGAACATCTAGATCTGAAAATGTGCAATCAATTTTGCAATGATCACTTTTTTCTGAATTGCTCTGCTGTTCTGCTGTGAATTTGTGAATTTAGATTCACTAGTTAATTAGCCCTAATTCCTAACCTAATCTATTTTTTCTCTTAATTTTTCAGGTTGTTGAAGCTAATCATCCAGGGAAACCAAATGTTTCTAGGGTAATTTTTATTTAGGTGGTTTTATTAATTTAAATTATAAGGATTAAACTAATATTAGGGTTTTTATGATCTTAAATTAGTAATTGAATATTTCATTTTTAAGTGTTTATTGATTAGTTGATTGGGAATTACATAATCAAGTAGTGAGTGTTTATTGATTTGTTGTTGTTGTTGTTGTGTGGTGAATAGGCTGAGCTTAAGGAAAAGCTGGCAACTATGTATAATGTGAAGGACACTAACACTGTGTTTGTCTTCCAATTCAAAACACATTTTGGAGGTGGAAAATCCACTGGTTTTGGCTTGATTTATGATTCGGTTGAGAGTGCCAAGAAATACGAGCCCAAGTATAGACTTATCAGGGTGAGTTAACAATCTCCATAGCCACCTCATATTGATTTTGTTTTTAAATCTTTTGGTCTGAATTGGTTACATCATTGTTGTAAACTATCTTTTGATGTGAAATATTCCCGTATGTGTTCTTTACAATCACAATGCATTGTACTGTTTATTGGTTGCATCATTTTTGTTAACTTTCCTTCGATGTGAAATCTTCCAGTCACAATACATTGTAGTATTTATTGCTTACATCATTGTTTTTTCAGTTTTTTATTTACAATTGTAATAGCTCAGTGCTTCCATCTCGCTGTTCCTTTTTGTTTTGTCACTTTTCCTTCAGGTACACTTGAATTTTTTGTTATAAGCCATGCTAACAAAGTCTTCTTGAAACATTAACCTAAGTCAGTATGCACATCAGGTTCCTCACAGTTTTCTGAAGAAATCCCTAGGAGTTCTGGATTTTTTTGCATATCTACCATACATACTGTTTGTGGCCTCCCATGGAAGCTCCTTAATTCTGTCCCCTCTAAATCTGCTATGGGGCTAACTTTGAGTCAACAACAATACATTCGGTTATTTACTGTGTTGGACTATTTTCCAAATGTGCGACTTTGAGAACTGAACCGAAGTTCTTTTCTTTGGCGAGGCTCAAGTTTTCAAATCTCCCAACATCATGTTGGTCTATGTAAATTTCAATTGTAACTTCCTTTGCAGTGTATTTGTTTCAAATTTGTTTCTTTGGTGTCTTATTTTTCCATTTTTTTCGTTACCTTTTTGTATCTGTGTATCTATCATGTTGATCTTTGTGAGTTAAACTGCATTTATTCATGATTACTCTGTTTTGCGTGACTGAATGTAAATATACATCTATATTTCAGAACGGTCTTGACACCAAAGTAGAGAAGTCAAGGAAGCAAATGAAGGAGAGAAAGAATAGAGCCAAGAAGATCCGTGGTGTTAAAAAGGTAATTTTGTAACTACTAATTATTGTCACGTGTTTATGACTGCTCACACTGTATTCAGTCATTGTTTGATTAAATCATAAAATCTTTGTCTGCGCTGTCTTTGCAGACCAAGGCTTCTGATGCTGCTAAGGGTGGAAAGAAGAAATAAGTTCGAGAGTTGATGTTTAAGATTATCACTATTTTGCTTCCAGAGTTTTTTAATAGCATTTTTTTCTTCTCGTGCTAGGTCTATAGAATAAGGTATTTTGGTACAAGGGTTAATCCTTGTTTAAATTGTTTTATTATCACGGGAGATTTTCATTTTCATTTTCGGTACTAGAGTTGACAATTTTTTAATTCTTTTTTTACTATCTCTCTACATTAAATTTTAGTTCATTGTAGGCTGCGGATAACCTTGCTAATGATAGATCTCTGTTAATGACTATTTAATTCAGATTATGCTATAATCTATGGTGAGCCTCAAGCTTCACTTTAGCAAGAATGTATTGGTAAAGACAATCCTTGATTTTTATAATTGTGTGCCTATAAAAAAGTAATAAACAACTATTAAATTATCTCAATTGACTCATAATACAATCATACAATTGTATTGCACCAAAAATGGTTGAATTTCTATAATGATTAAAAATGGAAAATAAAGCAAGTGGTCCAAAAATGTAGTGTTCAATCATACCTGTTAATATTTCTTATTGCAGAACTAATATTGAACAATACAATCTAGTACTCATACTTTATAATTTAATTTGTCACATTGGATTTGTTGCTATTGCTCCACTTGAGAGCTAACTTAGAGATAGTGTTTGTGGAAGTTCCATTTTCACCCAAAGTTTTTGCTGCAGCCTCTTTAAGATCCTTCATTTTACAACGCAGCTTCTTCCCTTCTTCACCTTCCATCAAACACTTGACAACACTAGCAATCTCTTGTCTCTCAATCAAACCACTCTCACCAACATTTGGTCTCAACCCAACCTTAACACCCTCAGTTAAAATAACAGCATTCATTCTTTGTTCAGCATAGAGTGGCCAAACAACTAAAGGCATTCCATTCACAACACTCTCAAGAACAGAATTCCATCCACAATGAGTCAAAAACCCACCCGTTGACCCATGGGCCAAAACCTGTGGCTGTGGGGCCCAAGATGAAGTAACAAAACCTCTCCCTTTAGTTCTTTCTAAAAACCCATTTGGTAAAAAATCGAAAGGATCAGACTCTGATTCAGCAGTGAAATAAGAAGCATTAACAACTTTATCATATGGACTTCTAACTACCCATAAAAACCGTTGCTCACTCCTTTCTAAACCAAGTGCCAATTCAATTGTCTGATTACTCGAGAGCGTCCCACGGCTTCCAAAAGATACAAATAAAACACTCTTGTCTGGCTGATCATCTAACCACTTCAAACACTCTGAACCATTTGGACCGGTTTGAGCGACTTCGACCTCTCTATTAACTAACGGTCCGACCGGATAAAGAACTGGTTCTCCTTTTTGTAACTCCTTGATTGGACCCGGTTCGAGTTCAAGGAAACTGTTTTCAATAATTCCATCAGCTTCACTGTGTCTCTTGGCGTTACGAAGAACAGTTCTGTAAGCGTCGTTTTTACGATCCTGAACCGGGTTTAGTAAATCTTTACCGTGAACCGGGATACAACCGGGGATTTTTACCGGTTCAGTGAGTTATCTATACTCGCAATGAACCTCTTGGTCTAAACGAGGGAGATAAAGAAAAAGGGAGAGAGACATGGCGGTTGAAGGGTAGAAAATATATTTAGGGAGGTTGAATTCGTCGGCGACGTCGAAAGCGTCGGTGCCGAAATGATCGACGAGGAGGGTAGTGATAGTATGAGAAACGGAGAGGGAATGGATGGTTTGTCGGAGAGAAGGGAGAGACAAGAGAACGGTGAGGGAGATGAGTGTTTCAGTCTTGGTGTTTGGTGGGAGATCTGTGAACGTAACTGGTGGAAGGAAAGTGTGTGAAATGGAATTCGGAAGGGATTGAAGAACGGTGGTCTGTGCTTTGGAAGGTGGACCTGCGTTAGGGACGACGAAGGTGATATGTAGGCTTTGATGAAGAGGGATTCGTTTGGCGAATTCAATCATCGGTATGAGATGTCCCATGCCTGGTGATGGTAGCATCAACACCATAGGTGGTAATTCTGGTGCTGTAAGCACTTCTTGTTTTGGAGCTTCCATCAAGATGTAAATGAAAATGAAAATGAAATGGTGTCTAGTTTTTGGTGAAATGTGTTTGAGGAAGAACAAGGGAATGATTATAAATACTCCACTTATTAATGATTGATTGGTCCACGTTTTATTTATAGCGTGTTTGGGAAGCCATCAATATATAAATTTGAAAGCATCCAATCTGATCTTACTTAATTATAAGATTTTCTTCGGTTTTTTTCTTTTCCCTTTTTGTAACATTCTTCTCCATTTTTAAAATGTATTAATTATTTTTTTTCAAATATATTCTTAATTATATTTTATATATTTTTTCAATATATAATAAATACAGTTATATATTCATTAAATATTTATTTCTCTAAATAAATTTGTAAAATTATACACAATAGTTAATAAATTTATTATTCTAATAAATTTTCTTAATTTTTATAATCTATTTAATAAAATTTTATATTTAGGAACCAAAATAAGATAAATATATAAATATAATTGACACGCATTTATAATTACACACATAAAAATGTTACTCATTGAGTCAAAAAATACTCTTGTAGTAACGATTACTCAATAAAACAATTCATTTTCTTTTATGGCATTGCAAGACTATAACAGTAAATAGAATAAATGACAACATTTAGCAAAGTTATCTTTCTATACATAATAATATGATTAGGGAGTCGAACTAAAAAGTCAAGAAAATAATATGATTAAACTACAATTGATTGCTTACATATAAATGGAATTGTATAGTGTTATACATTATTATCTTAAATTAGTGGGATATTCGTGCGTTCGCATAGATACTATCGTATTACGCATTATTATGTTAAATTAGTGGGATATTCGTGCGTTCGCATAGATACTATCGTATTACGCGTATTTAAATTCAAAAATAAATTTAAACAAAAATAAAATATTTAATCATAATTAGTAATCGTACCAGACCAAAAAGGACTCTCAAGGCCTTCGAACTTTTTGTCGATCAACGGTTTGATGTGAAGATTCAGAGAGAGTGCTAGCAAGTATGAGAGTATGTGAGTTAAAGAATCAATACCCGGCCCTCTCAAATGAGAGGGTATTTATAGTCCCAACGTTGGACCAAGGTCTTCAATGATGAGTCATGATGAGGTCCAACAAGGAAGACTACCAGGGTTTACGTGTGTATGAGGTCCAGCACGTGACCCCTTCCCTGGTCAACTGCCTCAAGAAAGTAGGTACTAGACCCGTTATTCCTGAAGGGCAGTATGATGACGATTTAGACACGTGGGCAACGTCTTTCAAGCGAACACGTGGGGAAATGGCTAACGGTAATTATGTTAGGCTGTAGCTTTAGGCCTTTGATAGAAGCACTGGACTGGGCCTCCCCAACGGTGGGGCAAGTGTTGGCCCAGTCCAGAACAGGAGCCCCCCAAGTCATTGCTCGTAGATGAAAGAGTGATGACTTAAGTTCAATTCCACTGTCGGGGAAACGCTGCCTGCAAGGGGAAATTGCCCAACTCCGTTGGGGATGATTTGTGGGTTGATGTTAAGGATGCAGAAAACATCGTGTGGCATGATCGACTAGGTCACTGGGTGGTCCCTCGACCAGTTTTAACTCCGATGTTGTTAGTTTTGTGCCCGTCAGGCACATATGTCCATGTGAGGCGAGGGATTCCCTAAAATTTCTTTTCGCGTGCTCGTTTATGAGGAGCTTCCCCGACGTCGAGCATTTACCTCGCCTTTAGGGGAACAATATAGATTTGCTCGTAGTCATGGTTGTGTTGGGGGGTTGTCTGTTACCCGTCTCTGAGACCTAAATGTCGCCCATTGGCCCGTATATAACGTTCAGTAGATGAGTCGGGGACAAATTCGTCTCCAAGAGTGGGCACGTGGCTCCTTGTCTCACTACGTGGCTGCTGTTTTGGGGTGCCATTTTTTTATAGGGGAGTTCAAAAGCCCAAAGTAATGATGGCTTTTCGTATGCTACCTCGTGGGGTGTGAACCATCTATAAATAGTGGAATCATTGAGCTTATTTTCCATTTTCACGTTTTCCTCTCCATCCTCTCTCTTCTGCTCGTGGATCTCCTTCGTTCCAACGCCACCCTAACACTTCAACCAAGATCTTTCCAAGTAAGTCATATCCTCTTGATGATGGTTTTTACCAGATTTTTAGATTGAATACTTAGTTTTTGTTATGAACGGGTGAACTTCTGGATGAATGTTCGTCAGTTCTGTCATGAATCTTCATGGGTGTTCATCAAAGTTCATGGCCACGGACGAAGGTTCGTACACCCAACTTCATGTGTGTCGGGGTCGTCCTCCCCGAGTAGTGGGGAGGTTTTTGAGCCGCCCAGACGTCCTCGTGCAGGGTGTGGTTCGTTCTTAAGTTGGCCGACGAGGGCTTAGGTCGAGGTCCATTCCTCGATGCAATCATCCCCCTTTCACTTGATTTGTAGTGGAAGGGTGAATTTGATGATGTCGAATTCACTGTTTTCCCCTGTCTTTCAGGTACGATGACCCACCAAATCGAGGATGACATTATGCTTGCCACCCATGAGAACGACAATGTTGTCGAGGAAAACCCTTTGGCCTGGGTCGCGCCTGAACCTAGGAACAAAAAGTCGATATTCTCATAGGATGTTACTGATGCGTTCAACTGCCCGGAGGTTCGAGCACAAGGTTCCCCAACCAATTAGGTCCTGCAGATCCCTCATAGAAACAGTAGAATATGCTCGGCATATCCGGGAAAACGCTTTTCCATGTATGAATTTGCTTTCAAGGAAGCTGGGATGCGTTTGCCCTTCAACAATTTCCAGGTTAGGGTCTTTCAATGGCTACAATTGGCGCCCTCCCAGCATCACCCAAATGTGCTTGCTTTCATGCATGCCTTCGAGCTCGTATGTCAATATTTACAGATAGGCGCCACGCCGCCCCTCTTCTTCCGTATACTCCATCTTCAAAGGAAATCTATCGGGGGGGGGGGGGGGACAAGCCTGGGTGTCCTTTAAGCAGTTCATGAAACTCTTCCGGCCGTATCTCGAATTCGTTCGTCATTTTAAAGAGAGGTACTTCATCGTGAAGCCTCTTACAGCCGCGATCGTGACCTCGTTGTATGAACACTCGGAGGTGGTCGAGGAAGGTCGGACAATAGTTCGATTGAACGCTAGATTTCCCCTTGAATGTCAGTGGAAACATTTCGAGCAGAAGCTCGAGTATTATGCAGTGAAACTGGAGGATTTAGATGCCGATGACCAGCTTTCCTATGAGAAACTGGTGGCCTATGTCAAGAGTTTCACGCCGACGAGGTGCGTGGACATGCATAACAACTTCCTCTTCGACGACAACAAGGAGTATCTCCTTGTTAGTAGACTAATAAATACAGAGGCGTTTCTCTAGTGTTTTTCAGATGAGGAAGCTCTGTGGATTTTAGGTAGGGTACATGCCCGTGATTTTCTCTTTGTATGTTTTCCTTGTGACTAACATTTTTTCTTTTTGGTTGTAGATCAGATGACGTCCCTCTCTGAGCGCTTACTCAAGTTGAGGCACAAGAATGCCTCCACCTCGGGGCCTAAGAGTCAGGCTGCCCAACTTCAACAGCTGGCCAAAGCTCCTGGCCGAGCTAGTGATTCCCCCTCCTCAAAGACTCATGCTCCTCCTCCTGAACAACAAGTAAAGAGGAAGCACATGGAAGATCCCGAGCGGGTGGTGCCCGAAGGTGACGGGGGAGTCGGGGGAGTATATATGTTGCCTCATTTCTATCTCAATTGGACCATCTTCAGCGGGGAGAGTTCTCTAGGACTCCACGAGGATGAGAGGGAAGCGATCTTATCCGAGGATAAAGATACCCGTAGAAAGAACCTGAAGGACGATGTGGTCGCCGTGATGAGGATCCTAGAGATGGCGTTGACACTGAATGATGAAGCTGCAGGATCTTAGGTTACCCTTGACAAATATTTTGCCAAAATTGAGAAGCTGAAAGGAAAAAATGTGAAGCTGAAGAATGACATACTCAACCACGAGGTGAAGTATGAGTCACAGGTCCAACTTTTCAAGGACCTGAATGAGCTGCAGCCTCAACTGGATACTGCGGCCAAAGAGAATGAGCGACTGGTCTCCAAAATAAAAGAGCTGGAAGGGATCTCGGCGCCTACTAATCAAGAGACTGAGTCAGAGAAAGCCATGATGACCAGGGGAGACCCAATCGGGTGCATCCGTGTTCTTGAACAATATGTTGTGGATATCCTCTGTTATGGAAAAATCTTGAAGGTGTAGGGCCATTTAATCAGGTGGTCGATGGAAAAATCTTTTACCCTCCCGATGATAGTCTTGAGGAGGGTAGTGTTGTACCCCAAAATTTTCCCTCTCATTTATCAAGATTTTCCTCACAAGACTTCTTGGACTCAAGACAAGATTAGGGGTTGGTCAGCTCAAGACATCACCTTGCACTGATAACCTAGAATTAGGGTTTGAGTTTGCACAAGGATTTTTGGACCATCAATGCTTCATGTGACTTTCATACATGATAACGAGAAATCGTATCATATAATTGCTACCTTTTTAATCGATTTTCATACTGCATTAACCCATTTAAATCCCGATTGTTCCGAGTTTTTATGTCTTTTCACAGGTACAACATGTTTCAAATCAAATTAGTGAAAAAAAGATCACATGAAGAAAGCTAACATAAAAGTCAGAAGAAAAAGAACTAATCTTCAAAATTCTGCAAAGTTTGATGTTGTGACGGTCGTCACACCTCCATTACGAGTGTAACGCGCTCACAACCTGAAGAACGCTTGTCACACATCATTGACAAACGTAATGCGCTGTTTAAGCGCATTATAACCGTCACCTCTTCATTACGACTGTCACACGCGTAATTCAACGTCATGCAGAACAAGAGATGTGGGCAATGTAATGGATCTTTTCAACTCCTACAAATTCTCAACTTCAGCAACCACCAGTCCGGGTCTTCCTCCACTCAAGCAGTGCAAGTCCACGTTCCTAAATTTTCTTAACTGCAAAAATCCTC